CACAATATTTGTAGTGCTGATGGCACAGCTGTAGTAAAGCCCCTGGATGGATGGATGGATGGATGGATGGATGGATGGATGGATGGATGGATGGATGGATGGATGGATGGATGATGTGATGCAGAAAAAGAAAATCTAAAAAGAGCTTTAGAATGGAAGAATGGAATCCAAGAAGCATGAGCATGGGGAAGCTCAACACAGTGAAACATGAAATTAATTCATTAATGATGTATTGTTGTCTTAGGCATCATTGAATTGAAATGAGCTAGAATTCAGCATTGTCAGATCTTTGTGGTAGACCAGATCACAAACACCCACTATCATAACTACTGGAATATTATGGTTACAGAGTATATATAATAGCAGAATTATACCACAGAGATTCAAGCTGGAGTAGTCATGGATTTCTTCCTTGCCTGCTCTTTCCTGATTAAGTTGATACTTTTGCAACAGCTGCCACATAACCTTCTGCAGACACTTTCAGTCAGAACATCCTACTGCTTGCTACACAGGAAACAAAAAACAAAAAGGGTAGTCAGAAAAAAACACTGCAGTAAAATGCAGTCAATGAGCAAATAATATTAGATTTTGTGAAGAATTCTTTCATGTGATAGTTATCCAAGTCAATTCTCCAACCATTGATGCAGGAGAAGGAGAAGTTGATGAGTTCATTCTGAAATTGACAGAACATGTAAGAAGGATGTGCTGGTTGTCACTGAAGACAGGAATGCCAAAGTTTGAGTCAGAAAGAAGAAACTTTCGTCAGACTGAATGGCTTGGAAAACAGAAATGAAGCAGGAGAATGACAGTCCAATGATTCTCTAATCCAATGGTTTCTTCATTCCTTACATCTCCTTCAAACAACCAGAATGACATCTAAAGACATGGACATCACCAGCAAAAATCAAACTGACTAAATTAGTACTACCTACCCTTTGTTCTACCCTTTGAAATAGCCTTCTAGGTGAGATCAGGCATGCCTCACATTAATTTCAATTCAGAAAGATGTTTGGACTGTGCTCTTCCCTAGAACATTTCTCAACTGACTGGTAACCATGCAGGTTGAACGTAGAGTTTGCCTTTTATTTAATGTTTAGAGTCATTTACATGTTTAATTGAATTGGGTTTTAAAAATATTTACCATTTTATTTTTAAAATATTATCTACTGCTGGAAATCCTATAGAATTTGGTGGTATACAACAGTGTTTCTTTCAGCCTTAGCAATTTTAAGGTATATGGGCTTCAACATGCTGGCTTGGATATTCTGGGATTGAAGTCCATACATCTTGAATTTTCTCGGGTTCTCAACTGCTAGGGTTGAGAAACTCTGGGATGGATGGATGGATGGATGGATGGATGGATGGATGGATGGAAGGAGGGAGGGAGGGAGTCTAGGAGCACAGCTTTTCTGTGACAAATGGCTCTAGTCTTTGTGTTTTTTCCAGGACTCAATGTTTGTTTGTTGCTCAATCCTAGTGTGCATGATTATACTTTTCTGGATTTTTTTAGAGTAGAAAAAGTGTTGTTTTTGTTACTAACAGATCTCCTCAGAACTGAAAATAGTATTATGTCTTTTTAATATTCCAAGTCAGTAAACTGCAGACTATGCCGATTTGCAGAAGGAAACTAAAGTTAAGCCTTAATAAGCTCAAGTGGCATATTTTTTTTTTCATTAAGAAAATTAGTGTGATTTAAGAGAAAAGACAGGAAAAGCCTGAGTCAGAAAGCAGTAGGAGAAAGTGATCTGATCAGTAAATGCCTAAGGGATACAAGTGTGCTGTAACTTAATAAAAGATAAGCAGATCGTCTTCCTACATTGGGGATTGGAAACTTAAAGTACGTTTTCGGCTTTTGACTCTGTTGACTCGGATTGAAGGAAGCTAAGGTCCCCAAAATAAGAAGGGCAGGATTAGCGGTGGGATTCACTTACCTTCCCTTCCGTTTGCAAATGTGAGTGCATGTGCCGCATCTGCACATCCACACCGCCTTCTGCACATGTGCTGTGCATCATGTTGGGGCAGGTGGGCGGAGCCTCCCGCAGCTGCCGCTACCAGTTCAACCGAACCAGAGAGAACTGGCTAAATACTACCTCTGGGCGGGATGCCTATCCAAGACCCATATTTGTACATTTTTCACAGAAAAAGTGAGCAGCCTCAGAAACAGAGAAAAGACTTGGGAAGAGGTAATGTTAACTCTTCGACAAATTATCTTCCAGCAAGAGTCAGAAGCTCTTTTATATGCATTTTGCAAGAAGTTCCCATTGGTTTCCAACCTTCCTCCCTTCTCCTCTAATGGTGCTGAGAGAACTGCTATTTGCACTTTCGATAATTCACTTTAATGGCATTCAATCAAAATCACCTCTTGTTTGGCTCTGACTTCCATACAAAAAGAATGTAGGATTGGTTAGCCCTGTCATCCTTCAACTACATCTCATTGTTATGTACCACCTAGTGGTGTGAACAAAAAATGCAGTCTGAGAAGAATGCTTATCCTACAATATTTTTTTTTTAAAAAAAAGTGCTTTTCAGACAGTCTGATAACTGCTTGGACAAGACTTTGCAGTTTTATTTGCAACGTTTTAGAAAATGGCTTGCAATTTCCATCTTCCTAGGCTGAGAGGGGGGGTACTGGCCTATACATATATAGCTTTATTGATTAGCCTATTATAGCAGGGATGACAAACCTTTTTTGGCTCCCGTGCCAAAAGCGGAGGGAGCGCAGGGGGGGTCGTGTGCGGGCATACCATGCCCATAATGCTATGCATGTGAAAAATTCCCCCCCCGTGCAAATGCATGTGCAACCAGCGACACACACACACACACACACACCGCTTTTGGTGCGCTTTTTTCGGCCTCCCCAGGCTCTAGAGGCTTTCTAGGAACCTGGGAAGGGTGAAAACAGCCTCCTTTCCCCCCCGCCCCGATGCCCTCCGGAAGGAGGTTCCGGGCTTCCCTGAAGGCTCCAGAGGGCGAAAAACAGCTCTACGGCCAAACCGGAAGTGACTCCTGAAGGCTCCGGAGGGCAAAAAACGGTCCTACAAGCAAACTGGAAGTCCGTTCTCAAACTTGTTTGGCCATAGGGCTGTTTTTTTGCGCTCCAGAGGCGCGCAAAAGGAATCCTCGGGAGGGCGAAAAACAGCCTCAAAAGAAGGCCGAAGTCAGCTGGCCAGCGTGCGCATGTGTGCTGGCCAGCTGACAGGGCAGCGCCTTGCATGCCCTAACAAATGACTTCACATGCCACCTGTGGAACACATGCCATAGGTTCGCCATCCTGGGCCTAGAGGCCGTATCAAAGCACAAGGTTCAAACACATATGACCAATAAAATCCTATGCAAACAATTTAAAATAAGAGTAGGGTAAAATACAATAGTTATAGAATAAGATACACTATAATTTAATACATAAATACATTAAATAGAATAAAATGACATAAAATTATATTCTGGTGTCACCCTTACAATCTACCCCAATCAGTCCCACTTATCTCAACCGAAACATTTTGTTTATGTACTGTGCTGTATGAAATGTTATTTTCAGGTTCTGGCCGCATATAAAGTAAGTTGTTTTGATATGGGGATCCCAATGGGTTATTCATTTGGTATATTAGACCAAGGTACCTGTCTCTCACCCCCTTCTACAAACAACAATCAAATAGGATGTGAGCCAGGTCTTCTACCTGTGCTGCTCCGCAAATGCAGAGACCTAGTTGGCCCAAGGCAGAATTAGAATTCATGGTGTCTTGCCTGATGCCTTAACCACTACACCAAACTGACTTTTTCATTTACTTACTTACTTATCAAGTTATCAAA